GATGGCATGGGATGGGATGGCACGAGTGCTGTACCCCTCTAACCATGGGTAGACAGGAGACGCCACAGGGGGCTCTCACCTCGCTCTCCCGGCTGTATTTAATCTCATACTTAAGGATGAGCCCGTTGGGGTTCCTGGGCTCTTCCCAGCGCAGCAGGACGCTGTTCTTGCTGGCCGGCTCCCACGTGACATTGCCGGGAATGTTGTCAGCTTGCACTGGAGAGCGACACAGAAACAGTCAGCACCCACGGCCAATCCCCCATCTCAACAACATCCCAGTACATCCCAGCACGGCTGTGGTGGGGTTTGGAAACAGAGAGGTTGGGGACGCACGCTCAGGCATGGTCCTGGCGAAGACGAAGGTGGCGGCGCTGCAGCCCACGGTGTGTGCGGCGTGGTTGCAGGCGTGGATGTCGATGCGGTACTCGGTGAAGTGGCGCAGCCGCGACAGCACCGCCCGGTCRCGCACCACCTTGTCCTCGAAGATCTGGAAGTTGGGTTTGGGCTCGCCTCTGGGGCGGCTCGGGGCCTGAGGCTCCGCTGAGGAGCCATTGGCCGGGGATGTGACAGCCAACACGTCCCTGCGCTGCTTTGGGGTCCTGCAGGACATTGGGCAGGGGGTTGTGGGGAGCCAAAGCACCTGGGTTGTCCCCCAAAATCGATCAGGGGAGGAGTGACCCCCACCCCTCCCAGGATTTTGTAGTCCCTGCTCACCTCTGCGGGTTCTTATTGATGGATGTCACCTTCCAGGGTGGCCTGAGACAGCGGGAAATCAGTTAAAGGGTCTGCCAGGTGCAGCCACGGGACCCCCCACCCAGGCAGACCCACGCACCCAGCCTGGGGGAGCCCCCCAAAGCAGGGAYCCCCCCAGATGGCACCTGGGGATGGTGATGGAATTGTGCAGGAAGTTCTCAAACTTCTTCTGGAAGGACTCGGCCTCGCCCTCCACGCGGAGCTGCCCGTCAGTGGGGCGGCAGGGGCAGCACCGCTCCTCCGCATCCTGCTCCCCTTCGGGGCCATCCCCAAACCCGAAACGTGTGTCTGCACTGCTGGTGGGCAGCTTCAGGCCTGTGGGCAGCAAYGGGCAGGGCTGGCAGGGCCCGGCTCAGCAGGAAAATCCCCGTTTGGCCAGGAAAATCCCCGTATTCAGCACCAGTTGTGTCTCATAAACTAATAAAGCCTAACTACACCACGTAWCACAAATAGTTACCTGCACCTATAGGAATAAACCTTACTTAATAAGGCAGTTAATGAGGCCTAATCAGGACCTAATTGAAATTTTGGAACAGATCCGAAAGAATGGAAATAAGACTTTAGTTACCATCYGCCACAACACACTAGAAATAAGCAAAGAGTGAGACAAGATGCAAGCCATGATTGGTGGGATGCACATTTTGGATGGTCTTCTTCTGCACTGGTATTCTGRATAGGTTCTGTCACCCCATAATTGTTTTGTTGATCTTAGCAGGAGGTTAGCGTTTTGTTATCTTTGATGTTACTTGTGTGGAATTGCAGGGTGATAGGGAAGTTATCAGTTTTAATCACCTTATCAAATGCACGTGGGAAAACGTTAAGGGATGTTTATCATAGAAGCCTTTTAGAGGAAGAATTTGTGTATTATTAAAATAATTTACTAATACACTAATATTAGTAAAATAATTTACTAGRAAAGGGGGGATTGATACAGGGGACTAAGGAATTAATAGCAACTGCTCAAGTTAGCTAACTCTGCTGGAACTCAATGCACAACACCTTGCTTATGAAAAGCCAAGTTTAATAAGGATGTCATTAATCATATCGATTAGGCATTAATCAGGCACCACCCCTGCCCTGCCTGGCCTCACCTTTATGGCAGTAGTCGTTGATGTAGAGCTCCATGTCCTCGGCCAGCTGCTGCCACAGCACCAGGTAGTAGGTGATGTTGCCGTTGCGTTGCGTGGGCGGCTTCCAGCGCACCACGATGTGGGAGGAGGAGTTGGACATGGAGATGACATCCCGGGGCACCGTTGGGGCTGGGAGGACGCAGGGGTGGTCAGYCTTTCCCGGGGGATCCACCGTGGGCACCCCCAGGCCGCCGCCAGCCCCTTACCCGCTGGCATGGTGCGGATGTAAACCACCTCGCTCTGCGCCCCGTAGTTGCGCCCTTCCTCGGCCGTGGTGAGGGTGATGGCGCGCACAAAGATGGCGTATTGGGTCCAGGGACGGAGGTTGAGCAGCGTCACCCCCGGCTCCTGCTCACTGCTCAGCGGCAGATCCACGTCCAGCACGTTCCAGCTCTGGGCCCCGCAGGCGTCCTGCCCCACGTACTCCGACACGTTCTGGAAGGGTCTGTCCCACACCAGGTGGGATCAGGGAAGGTCCAGCAGGATCAAAGGACACCACAAAGGCTTCCCACACCTTCCACCATGGGGACAAGCGGGCAACAGGAATCACTTACGACTCCTTGTAGTAGACAATGAAGCTGAGGAGGTCCCGGTACTCGGGGGGCCGGTACCGCTCCCACTTGAGGAAGATGCGGTCGGACTCGGTGACGTTGGAGATGAAGCGCAGGGTCTGGGTCTTACCTGCGAGGAGGAGGCGGGGCTCAGCCAGGGTGTCACGGCACTGCCAGCTGTCCCTGTCCCCACACTCACAGGACGCCCGGTCCCCGTTGGTGCGCGGGTTGATCTCCGCCTTGTTCTGCCGCCCCTTGGTGCCCGTCACCTCCTCCATGCGGTAGATCTCGGCCAGGCACAGCTTGGGATTGAAGGCAAAGTACATCTTGCCCACRGGGATGGAGAGGACGTGGTGGTTCCAGTCCCAGAGCTGCTGCAGGTTCTGGTTGTCCAGGACGTACAGGGTGTAATTCCTGGAGCAGGAGATGTGGGGAGGAAATGGGCAAGGGCATCTCCATATCCACGTGTCACCCCCAAACCCACACCATCCTCACCCATCCACCATGGAGTCACCACGGATCAGCTTGAGGTTCTTGAAGAAGGACAAGGAGACGAGGGCGAAGGAGTGTTTGATTTTCAGGAAGCCCGTGATGGTCTCGATGAGCCCCAGGCTGCTCTGCAGCTCCGAGGCCAGGTTATCTGGGGACAACCCACTGGGTGAGCACAGGRAGAGGGGCAAAGACCCCCTTCCTCCACCCCTGCCMTCCACAGCAGCTCTYCCACCCAGGATGGTTGCAGGGGGTGGGATGCAGCACTCACAGCCCCGGCGGATGTTGAGGATGAGGTTCCCCTCGATGAGGGTGCAGCCCCCCAGCTCCTGCGCCGCCCGCGTCGAATCGATGGTCTTGGTGCCCACCTTGCACTCCTTGGGACACAGCCCCTCACACTTGTGGCAGAACATGCTGCGGGCAGGGTGACAGGGACAGGGCATGAGCTGGCCGATGTGCCACCGCTGCACCCGTGTTGGGAGAACCGGGGACACCCTCACCTGCTCTCRTTTCTGGTGTAGCCCGAGGGACACTCGGAGAGGCACTGCCGCTGGTGTATGACGAACTTGGAGGCGTCACGGGGGTTGTCGGAGACCTTGCGGAGGCTGGCGCAGTACTCGGCGGTGACGCAGCGCCAGCCCTCGTACTCGTAGGTGCGGGGCGGGCACGAGGGCAGGCAGTGCCCGTTGAAGTGGAAGTGGCGGCAGGCGACGCAGGCGCGGCTGTCGCGGGGACGGCCGCAGCCCCCCAGGCACTCGGTGTGGCAGCACTCGCCCGTCGCCGTGCACGCTGAGCCCGCGCCGCACGGGCACACTGCGAGGGGAGACGCGGCACGTGGGCAGGAGGGAATGATGGGAGCAAATCCCAGCCTCGGGAATGGGGTCGGGTGGGCATGGGGGAGAGGTGAGAAGGGCTGGGAGGGCTGCTGATGTCCTACAGGGCTGGAGGAAAACAGGAGGGAGGGTGGGGTGGAGAGATGGAGAGATGCAGGGATGGAGGGAG